GCAGAATAAGAGAGTGAGGACTTAGGTGAGGACTTAGGACTTAGGGCAGTAGTAGAGGAGGAGTTGGGCGTGCCCCCTAAATCTCACAACATCCCACTAGGTGCTGTGCGGTTGTCCCTGTCCCCACCACACAGGATGCTGACATATCTGCCACCTTCACCGCCTTCAGGCCCGGATGACTCACCCTGAGCAGTTAGAAAAGCACAGGGAAACATTCATCCTGTGAGAAGCTCGGGAAGCCGCTTCCCTTCTCAGGACACCTCCTGAGGCAGCAGAGGCCAGGCTGGCAGGGAAGGTGGGACAGCTGGAACATTCCTGAGGCTGCCCTGACACCTGGTGGCAGCCCTCAGAAACCAGCAGCTGCATGGAGGAAGTGCTGGCCAGCAGGAGTGCAGGAAGGGGGAGAGAGGAAGGAGGAAGGGGAGAGAGCAAGTCCATTCTAGACCAGTGGTCCTCAAACTTGAACCTGCAGTGGCATCACCCTGAGTGCTGTCCCTGACTCGGGAAACTGCTGGAAAACTCGGAACTGCTGGGAAATCTGCATTTCTAAGAGGTTCCCGGAGGCTGCTGTGCTGCTGGTCCAGGACCAAGCCATGGGTCTGGGAAAGGAATGAAGGGATGTCTGCGCTCCTACTGGGTGCCTACCGGGTGGTACTGTTATACTATACCTTCCTTATAGAGGAGGCCACCAAGGCTGGAAAGGCCACGTTCCCACACTATCCACGTCCGTGCCCACAGAAGTGATAACCTTTTGAAATCAGTGCAGCCCCAGAGACCTCCCTAGGGGTCCCTGCTGCACATCTGTTGAGCAGGTCACAGCCTGGGTTTGTCTGCACCAAGCAGGCAAGATGGCTCCTGAGAATGGGCCCTGCCCAGCACACCTGCCCAGGCACTGAGCCAGGAACACACAAGCTGCTCACCTGGCCTCTGACAGGTTAGTGAAAGAATGGGGCAGGGCTTGCCTGGGGTGCTGCACAGGAGCACCTAGCTCACTGCCCTTTGGAGATGACCCTGTTTGAGAACTGTCATTCTGATGACACAGCAGTGAAGGGTCTGGTGGAGCTGCCAGCTCTCCTGGGGCCCAGGACGAGTTGCCTCTGACCTGATTCCCATTTCCCAGGCAGGGGCATGCCCAGAGAGCCATGCAAAGCCTTCCTTCCTCCCACTGGCCAGTGACTGTCCCTGGGCTCAGCCACACCACAGGAGGGGAGGAGGCCATACTGTCCAGTGTCGCTTCTCTCAGCATTGTGCTGAGCTGGAGGGAAGGCTAGGAGGCCTCCTAGAGGAGGGAACACCTGTCCAGCAGCTCAGCGGAGGTCAGTTAGGTGAGCAGGGAGGGAGAGGAGAGAGGAAGGCAGAGGTCTCAGAAAGGGCGGGGCTTGGAGGCCAGGACCAGGGGAGTCAAGGCTTCACAGAATCACCTGAGGGCAGGCGGAAATGCAGACTCGGGCCACCCCAGACTCCCTCAGGACGTTGTGGCTTTAAGTCCCAGGAAAATGCATTTCTAACCTGCTCCTGGCCACTGGAGTTTAGTCCTCAGGATTCCCAAGACCTTGGCTAGGTGGCCAACTTGTGCCCCCAATACCAGGTAAAAAGAGAGCAAGGTGCCAGGGTAGCCTCTGCCCCAGCCCAGCCCACACTGCCTGCTCCCTGCCTGCTGGGGTCCCACAGGATCCAGAGCCAACCACCAAGCCAGGCAGGACCTCAGACCTGTCCAGGTGCCTCAGGGCTGGCACACCACGTCTGTCACCTCATCTGTAAGCCTGCATCATGAGAAACATTTATTGTCAGTAGTTACAAAGGTTCCCAGCACCACTCTCTGTGCCTCCCGTCTGTGCTGACTCAGTGAGTGCCCATCACAGTCTTTCAGGGTGCTCCTACTGCACCTGTCGTAAACAAAAGGGGAAACGCAGAGGCGAGCTGCCCCCCAGAGCACACAGCTGGTAAATGCCCGGTGATGGCTCAGGCCAGACATCACTGCCACCGTGCCTCGTTACCCCCGCGTCCACCAACTTAGGTTAGTGGTTGAAGGGAGAAAGTTCTGCAAGAAGAGTAAAAGTGGGGCATTATGCAAAGACCAATAAAGGGTCCTGGGAATACAGAAATGCCAAGACTCCATGTTTACATTCCCTGGAGGGGCAGAGGAAGCCTTTCCCACCTGCAAAGCTCAGGCGTGGCAGGGCCTTCCTTGGCCATGAGAACAAGAAGGGAGTGGTCTCATCTTCAAGGGCTATGGAGATACCAACTGTCACCCAGTTTTACAAATAACAAAAGTGAAGCTCAGGAAAAAAGGAACAGAGGAAGGGTCAAACCTACAGAAGACTCAGCGTGCCCAGCACCGTGCTCGGCCTTCCTACACACTCAGGCCACTTAGTCCTCTACCAGCCCTGTGGGCGTGGCGTCACCCTCCCCTCCCGTCATTCACAGAGATGAAAAGGCTCAGAAGGGCAAGCCCTGACCCTGGACCCCCACGTGGTGGGGTGTTATCCGGACCCCCACATAGTGGGGTGTCCACGTGGTGTGGTGTAATCTGGACCCCCACATAGTGGGGTGTAATCCGGACCCGTCACTCACGTGGTGTGGTGTAATCTGGACCCCACATAGTGGGGTGTAATCTGGACCCTCACGTGGTGGGGTATAATCTGGACCCGTCACTCATGTGGTGTGGTGTAATCTGGACCCCACATAGTGGGGTGTTATCTGCACCCGTCACTCTGGTGAGGCCTGGGCAGTGCTCCCACTGCCCCCTCTCCAAGTATGGTCTCGCTGACTGCTGTGCCCCCTCACCTGGCACAGCACCCGGTGGCAGCTCATCCTGGTCAGCTTTGCTGTACGGCAAACAATGCTCCCCCTGCCGTCCGTGACACGGAGCCCCTGAGGGGCAGCTGTGAAGGCTCTGCCCCATGAGTCCTATCTGGGACCACAGGGGAGGGAGCAGCTCCTGCAGTGGGGAAAAGGATGAGAAGGCTGCAGAAGCCCCCTCTGCTTCCTAAAGCACCTGCTCAAACATGACACACTCATGCCCCCTTCCCCCAGGCACGGCGCACCACCCGTGAGGCTTGGACTCTGTTCCTCCGGTGGGCAAGATGACACGGACCGTCACTCGGCATCGGGCAGGAACTTACAGGCTGCTCACAGGAAGGGGCAGCAGGACAACCAGGGGCAATAACGCGTCATCCTCAGCATGACTTTAATTTAATAAAGGACAAACGGATGAAGGAACTATATTCCTTGCTGGAAAGGGTGAATATCTTCTCTAGGTCCATCCACACCAGTTGATAAGTAGGGAAAGAAACGATTGAACAGCAACAAAAATAGCCGTGACCAAATGACATTTGTGTTGTGTGAACTAACAATCTGCTTGTAATATGCAACCACTGGCTTTATGAATCAGTAAAAACTCTGCAAAGGAAAGTTAGTATAAACCCAGCCTCCACTGAGAATTGACGACACTTGACAATCATGATCTGTCATTAACTATGGCCTGTTGCGTTTATCAGCAGCTGAGGCAAGGGCCATTTCTTCCTGAGCTCAGACAACACCTCCCAGACTTCAAGCACTGAGCCCAGGCCACATGATTAGCTCTCACCACTGGAAGGGGAGCACCACTCCAGAGCTGAGGATGGTGTGTCTTCACTGTCTTTTTTTTTTTTTCTTTTTTTTTGAGACAGAGTCTCACTCTGTTGCCCAGAGTGCAGTGGTGCTATCTCAGCTCACTGCAAGCTCTCCCTCCCAGGTTCATGCCATTCTCCTGCCTCAGCCTCCCGAGTAGCTGGGACTACAGGTGTCTGTCACCACACCCAGCTAATTTTTTGCATTTTCAGTAGAGATGGGGTTTCACTGTGTTAGCCAGGATGGTCTCGATCTCCTGACCTCATGGTCTACCCGCCTCAGCCTCCCAAAGTTCTGGGATTACAGGTGTGAGCCACTGTGCCCGGCCTTCACTGTCTTTTCTTCCAGCAGGTTGTGTAAGTTCCCACAGCGGATTCCAAGGCAAAGAGAGAAAAGCAGCTTTGGTCCCTGAACAACCGCCTGGAGCAGAGGCCTCTCATCCCTTTTGAACCCACAATGGACTGCGACTTGAACAAGAAATAGAGCTTTTCGGTCGGGTGCGGTGGGTCAAGCCTGTAACCCCAGCACTTTGGGAGGCCGAGGCGGGCGGATCACCTGAGGTTGGGAGTTTAAGACCAGCCTGACCAACACGGTGAAACCCTGTCTCAACTTAAAATACAAAGTTAGCTGGGCGTGGTGGTGCATGCCCGTAATCCCAGCTACTCAGGAGGCTGAGGCAGGAGAATCACTTGAACCTGTGAGGTGGAGGGTGCGGTGAGCCAAGATCCCACCGTTGCACTCCAGCCTGGGCAACAAGAGAGAAACACTGTCTCAAAAAAAGAAAAAGACGAGACAAGAAATAGAGCTTTTTCTGCATTCAGCTGCTGATTTGGGGTGGCTTACTACAGCAGCTGACCTCGTGTTAACCTCGTGTGAACAGCGCTGACTTCCGCTTCTAGGTCCTGGTGATCCTGGAGGTGAGCTGTGAGCTGCACTGCAGGAACCTTGAGTCACCGACTAGTCCCACACCACATTGAAGAGCCCCCAACCAGGAGTAACTGGTACATCCTAGCATTGTTAGCTATAGAAAAAGTCAAAATGGTATTGGATAAACTACGGGACAAATAAAACGAATAAACAGGTTCTTTAAGTGCTGATATGGAAATAGCAGGTATGTTAAGTGAACAATTAAGGCACAGAACAACATACAGAGCAGTTTTTAAGGTCTGACCCAAGGACCCTGAGACTGCCCAGGATCCTTTTAGTGGGTCCGCTAGGTGCTGCCTTTCCAACTACACAACAGTATAAGGATATACATCCTTCATATATCCCAACCAAAAAGCGTCACGACAGTTCGAATGCAAAGATGAAAATCCAGCTGTCTTCTAAGCATGGCACTAAAGAAAATTGTGATGTGAAAACAATCTCATGCTTCACTGATTCTGTTTGGAAGACTAAGTTTTCTACGTTCTTTTAAAATGTCGCTATAGGCTGGGCGCAGTGGCTCACGCCTGTGATCCCAGCGACTTGGGAGGCCGAGGCGGACAGATCACCTGAGGTCAGGAGTTCGAGACCAGCCTGGGCAACATGATGAAATGCCATCTCTACTAAACATACAAAAAAACATTAGCCAGGCATGCGGGTGGGCGCCTGTAATCCCAGCTACTCGGGAGGCTGAGGCAGGAGAATCGCTTGAGCCTGGGAAGCGGAGGTTGCAGTGAGCCCAGATCACGCCATTGCACTCCAGCCTGGGCAACAAGAGTGAAACTGCCTCAAAAAAAAAGTCACTCTGGGTGGCTCACACCTATAATCCCAGCACTTTGGGAGACCAAGGTGAGCAGATCACCTGAGGTCAGAAGTTTGAGACCAGCCTGACCAACATGATGAATCCCTGTCTCTAATAAAAAAAATACAAAATTAGCCAGGCGTGGTGGTGCTGTCTCTTATACACATCTAGATGTGTATAAGAGACAGGGGCGACAGAGCGGGACTCCGTCTCAAAAAAAACAATAAAAGTTAAAAAATAAAAATAACAAAAAAAGAAGTCATGTATCCAAAGATGCTGGAGAAGTTATTGGACACACACTGCCGGGGAGTCTGGGTGGGAAAAAAGCGTCCATTTTCTCACAGCCATCCTGAGTGTGACTACACAGGCCACTCCTGTTTGTGGAAATCATATATGCACATGGCACAGGGAACAAGAAGGCGTTTTAACCTCAGATGTGGAGACCTACTACCTGCACGCTCCTGAGTAAATTATTTAACTTCTGGGCCTTGGTCCCTCCAGTGGAA